ATGCTACATACAAAGTGCACCGTTTAGGAGGGTACAGAGTGCAGGGCTCAGGAGGGTACTAAGTACAGAGTGCATGGTTCAGGAGGGTACAGAGTGCAGGGTTCAGGAGGGTACAGAGTGCAAGGCTCAGGAGGGTACAGAGTGCAAGGCTCAGGAGGGTACAGAGTTCAGGGCTCAGGAGGGTACTAAGTACAAAGTGCAGGGCTCAGGAGGGTACTAAGTACAGAGTACAGGGCTCAGGAGGGTACTAAGTACAGAGTGCAGGGCTCAGGAGTGAGTTACGTACAGGGTTCAGGGCTCAGGACTGTGTTATGTACAGAGTGCAGGCCTCAGGACTGTGTTATGTACAGAGTGAAGGTCTCAGGAGTGTGTTATGTACAGAGTGCAGGGCTCAGGAGTGTCTTACGTACAGAGTGCAGGGCGCAAGAGGGTACTAACTACAGAGTACAGGCTCAGGAGTGTGGTACTTACAGAGTGCAGGGCTACTGACCCTGGACCCTCGGGCAGTGCCCGAGTGCCCAAATGGTCAGTCCGCCCCTGCTAAGGACTGATTCACAGGTGCAACAGGCACTGCTGCTCCTCTGCAAAGTGATCCCAGTACATTTGGCAGGTGGTGAGGAGGTGATATGTGGCCTCCTCATCACCTGATTTAAACCATGCAATGCATGCGATTGTGACACGGTAGTAAAGCAATTAGAGGCTTAAATCAGGTGTGAGGAGGCAACACTGTGCCCAGTGATCTTTGACTTCTTCTATGTTGTTCAGGTAGATCTCCTTGCCTACCCCTATCCCACACTATGGAAAGAGCAGGTTCTCTCCATGCTGGCAGAAGCTGTCTGTCTTTCTCTCTCTAGACCCAGTGGGGAGAACAAACTCACTGTATATCACTGCAGCCAGGAGCTGAAGAATCTTTTCTATGGCTCTTTCATTCTGTCCACTGTAACAGGCTGGACTGTGTTCTCTCCTATCTTCTCTCTCCCCCTCCAATCCAGCTACGGACATCTCCTCTGTAGAACTCAAATCAGGCGGGTTTAGAGAAAGGGGCGGGTTCAGCGCTCTCCTATTGGTTGAGTGGGCAGCAGAGAGGTTGTGTATCAATATGCCTCTGAAACTTGCTTGCCGGGACTCAGAGTCCTCAGCTTCCTTCCATTATTAGAGATTTGAGGGTACAACAAAAAGAAAAAGAAAAAAACACTGACACATACAAGAACTGGCATGTGAATTTTGCGGAAGCTTTGGGGGTGCTTGAATAATTTTTGGGGGTGCTCCATCTAGTGCCTCCCCTGATAATCTTTCAAACATACAAGGCTGCAAGGTTATGGCTGAGTAATACTCAAGTCTGATGCTCGTGGTTATTTTTTTTTTTTTTTAATATGACAGTTTTGGATTAGATAATACTTCACTGTGCACTGTAAAAAATTAAAGGAACACTTTTTAATCAGAGTATAGCATCAAGTCAATTAAACTCCTGGGATATTGATCTGGTCAGTTAAGTAGCAGAGGGGATTGTTAATCAGTTTCAGCTGCTTTGGTGTTAATGAAATTAACAACAGGTGCACTAGATGGGCAAAAATGAGATGACCCCCAAAACAGGAATGGTTTTACAGGTAGAGGCCACTGACATTTTTTTTCCCTACTCATCTTCTGTTTGCTGTGTCTCCCAGCACAGTCCCAAGAGCACGGAGGAGATTCCAGGAGACAGGCAGTTACTCTAGGAGAGCTGGACAGGGCCGTAGAAGGTCCTTAACTCATCAGCAGGACCGGAATCTGCTCCTTTGTGCAAGGAGGACCAGGATGAGCACTGCTAGAGCCCTACAAAATTACCTCCTGCAGGCCACTGGTGTGAATGTCTCTGACCAAACCATAAACAGAGTTCATGAGAGTGGCCTGAGGGCCCAACGTCCTCTAGTGGGCCCTGTGCTCACTGCACCATAGAGCTTGATTGGAATTTGTCATTGAACACCAGCATTGACAGGGAGTTTCGGCTTGAAAACAGTGACTGCTAATGGAAGGCCCATAACAGCTGAACTATTACCACTTCTTTCAAACACTCCATATTCCTTAAGTGGAGGACTGGACATCACTGAGGAGTGGTCAACTTATACGCCAGAGTGGTGAGAGCTTGCGGGCACAATTTATGTGGCAACCGTCGTCACTTGTGCAATACCTACTACCAGACCAGACCATATGGTCATTGGCTGCACTATACTGTAAGGGTCGTACTCACTCATACCCTACAGCAGGTTTTTTATTACCACACTAGTGCTTCATTGATTGCATACCACTCACAGTGATATATGCTTAGGGCATTTGCTACATCTGGACACATTGGTGCTAACATCCCATAGCTCACCATTGACTACCACGCCAAGGTTGTGGGCTCTCTCAGCCTGCTTTATCCATCATCAGTACTCCATCATGTCAGCCTACTACCCCACAGAAACAGGGGTATTTAGCCCTGTTTAATGTCCTTTTACTTAACATGGGCTTCCATATGCCTACATTGCCGTAGTCTGGCCCCACTGTGGATACGTATTACCTTAAATCAGATTTTGATTCTTTTGTTATATGCCTTGATGTTATTGCTTCTATACAGATCTGGCCACCATTCTCAGACTAGTCACAACATCACTCTTTGAGTGTAAGTTGTCTGGGTAGCATGTTAAAGCCAGTTTACTACTTGTCAGCACCCACTGACTGTTAGTCTTTAGATCGTTGGGCTGATATGTTATGCTCTATATGAGATCGAGTTTATGCAGTGTATGTGAATGGATGTGCGGTGCCCGGGCCTGTATGTTAAGGTGATAACATTATCTAACCTTATTTTAATGGTGATTGGAGGATTGACGGCCACTTGGCCTAATTTTACTCAATAAAGTAGTTTGGTTTGGTTACATCGCGGTTGGTTCTCCTTTAAGCCCCTTTCTAGGTGGCCTCTCTTGGTCCACTATACACTTTGTTCTGGCATGACCCTGGCTTTGGAGGACCTCTCCCAGCACTTTGAGATCTCCCCTTTGTGGGTGAAATATATCCTTGCTCTAGCTTTTTATACATTTATAATTATCGTCAAGATGTTTGCCCAAAAATCAGAATGGAAATGGTGAATTATCTAGGAAACTTTGACTGTGGAATCGCTTTGTTTGTTAATGCCAGATGTGTTGATTACAATATCTCTGGAACTGCTTCAAGAGACGTTTCAATTGTGAATACTAAATAGAGCACTATTTGCTATCTTTGCCCATTTTAGGCCCCTTTCTAAGAGGGCAGACTTTGTTGAGATCAACAGGGGATCAGTCTGCATTGCTAATAGATGGCTTATCAGCCAAGATTATAAAACTTCAGTGTGTTTGTAACTTCTGAAATTATGACAGTATAGCCAGAATAAAGTCACATTCACCTTCATCAGTTATAGGGTAGCATTTTGAACCTAAGCCTCCACACCCCTCCAATGAGAATTGGATATCTGAGACCTGTCATATTTATATCCATTTGGCAGCTAATTTCATGCTGGACAATGATCTACATGGTAGTAGACTCTAAATGGCAGGTATTCAGAAATATGAATACTTTTAAGATACTGTATTTGGGACTTGGTCATAAACGTGCTGACCTCCCAGCAACCACCCTTTAAACCAGATGATTGGTGAGATGGTCTCTGTCAACACTCCTTTATGTCAGATAAAAAAGAGATTGCAAGCAGATTTGATAGCTCTCATTTTAATTTCAACCAAGGAACACCTAGCCGGACTTGAAAGAGCCACTGCACGGTTTTTACTTGCTCAATTGGACTCTACTAAAAACAAGTATTCATTTTCAACTCCTTTTTAATTCTCTATTTCTTTATTGTTTCTTTATTTGTAACACCTTTTTATGTAAATATTTTATTTGCACCCTTTTGACCTTGTCATTATTAAACCCTATTTTGAAAAGTGTTAAACTGTGCCTGTCCCTAAGGCCTTTAATGCAAACTAAAATAATCCCTGTCTCTTGAAGAGTGCTACTGTATTAAAATCTCTGAACATGCCTGTCTGTGGTGACAGTGCGTGTTGCAGACGTTTATTCTAAAATCATAGCTGCTATTGCTAAAATGTTCTCCTTTTCAGTCAAATGGCGCTGCTAGTAGTTTAAAGAGTTAATTTCTTAGTTAACTTAACCCAGTGGCAATTGCTCTCAGGCTGCAGCACATAGATTGTGGTCCTGCAAGCTGGAAACTCTTGGTGCAGGGTGCAGCTCAGAGTGGTATTGTTACGTAAGTGACAGCGTGGTGTAAGATTGGCCAGTCCTTTGACATGAGTTGGTGAGAAGGGCAGTGGTCGGGCACTGAATTTGTCACAGGATCTCCTTCCATTTTATTAGTGGAACTGATAGTAGGTGGGTGTAAACGGATGGTAGCCTGTTTACAATCACCATTTCATAGGGGTGAATGGACAGTCTGATCAGGTCCACCTGAAAACCTGACAGACAGACCTAATAGGACCCTTCATGTTAAAGGGGCCTAACTCACCATGCCCTTAAAGTGTAACTCTTTTGTTGAATCGTACCTTTTTTTTTGTTCTGAACCATGTTCTGTTCTATTTCTGTTTGTTCCACAATAATCTTTTTAGACTGATTACTGAATGGGAGGGTCTGCATTCATAATAAACAACTGGAGATCTTCTGTTCTGCTCTAGTGTTCTAATATGGGAGGTTACGTTGTCTGCATCTAGTAGTTAGTCCTTATGGAGTACCTCACCAAAAAAGTTCCTGCTGCGGAGGATGCCTAATTTTAGTTTCATCTTATTGCAGACATCTGAGAAAATCAGTGAACCAATCACACACAAACAGGAAATACAATTTCTATGGGCATTCCAAATACCAAATTAAATTAAATGGCTTGTGTTTCAATGTTATATACTGTATACACTATATTGTTAAAAGTATTGGGACACCCCTCAAAATCATTGGATTCAGGCGTTCCAATCACTTCTTGGTCACAGGTGTATACAATTAAGCACCTAGGCATGCAGACTGCTTCTACAAACATTTATGAAAGAATAGTTTACTCTCAGGAGCTCAGTGAATTCAAGCATGGTACCTTGATAGGTTGCCACCTGTGCAATAAGTCGATCCATGAAATTTCCTTGCTACTAAATATTCCACAAACAAGTGTTAGTGGTATTATAACAAAGTGAAAGCAACTGGGAACAGCAGCAACTCAGCCACAAAGTGGTAGGCCACGTAAAATGACAGAGCAGGGTCAGCGCATGCTGAAGTGCACGGTGCGCAGAAGTCATCAACTGCCTGCAGAGTCAATATCTAAAGATCTCCGAACTTCGTGCGGCATTCAGATTAGCACAACAGTGCATAGAGAGCTTCATGGAATGGGTTTCCATGGCTAAGCAGCTGCATCCAAGCCTTACATCACCAAGTGCAATGCAAAGTGTTGGATGCAGTTGTGTAAAGCACACTGCCACTGGACTCTAGAGCAGTGGAGACGTGTTCTCTGGAGTGACAAATCACGCTTCTCTGTCGGGCAATCCGATGGACATGTCTGGGCTTGGCAGTTGCCAGGAGAATGGTACTTGCCTGACTGCATTGTGCCAAGTGTAAAGTTAGGTGGAGGGGGGATTATGGTGTGAGGTTGCTTTTCAGGGGTTTGGCTTGGTCCCTTAGTTCCAGTGAAGGGAACTCTTAAGGCGTCAGCATACTAAGACATTTTGGACAATTTCATGCCCCCAACTTTGTGGGAACAGTTTGGGGATGGCCCCTTCCTGTTCCAAAATGACTGTGCACCAGTACACAAAGCAAGGTCCAGTACACAAAGCAAGGTCCATAAAAACATGGATGAGTGAGTTTGGGGAGGAGGAATTTGACTGAGCTCAACCCGATAGAACACCTTTGGGATGAATTAGAGTGGAGAACGCAAGTCAGGCCTTCTCGTCCGACATCAGTGCCTGACCTCACAAATGCATTTCTGGAAGAATGGTCAAACATTTCCATAGACACACTACTAAACCTTTTGGACAGCCTTCCCAGAGGAGTTGAAGCTGTTATCGCTGCAAAGGGTGGGCCAACAATATTGAACCCTATGGACTAAGATCAGGATGCCATTAAAGTTCATGTGTGTGTAAAGGCAGGCATCCCAATACTTTTGGCAATATAGTATATATATGTATATGAATTTGTTTAATGAAAGTGGGATTCTCCTTTAAATATAGACCAGTCCACATTATCATTTATAAGCATGGTTTAAAGTAAAAAAAAAAAATGTTCAATGAACAGAATCAAAAAAGGATGCACAGCTTCAAATATATTTTATTTTGTAGACAGAAATTAAATCTCTAGGCACAGTATTAGGCATTATCGAGGACACAGAGGCAATAGGTTAGTGTATACTGTTCTGTACAAAAATACAGTCTGAATAAATTACATTGCTAGTTATAAGATTGGGTTTCACTTACCAGTCAGTTAATTTCATGTTTCTTATTATAAAGTCATATGCTATGCCATATATATATATATATATATATATATATATATATATACAGTGGGGATCGAAAGTTTGGGCACCCCAGCTAAAAATTTGTATTAATGTGCATAAAGAAGCCAAGGAAAGATGAAAAAATCTCCAAAAGGCATCAAATTACAGATTAGACATTCTTATGATATGTCAACAAAAGTTAGATTTTATTTCCATCATTTACACTTTCAAAATAACAGAAAACAAAAAAATGGCGTCTGCAAAACTTTGGGCACCCTGCAGAATTTATAGCATGCACTGTCCCCTTTGCAAAGCTGAGACCTGCCAGTGTCATGGATTGTTCTCAATCATCGTTTGGGAAGACCAGGTGATGTCAATCTCAAAGGTTTTAAATGCCCAGACTCATCTGACCTTGCCCCAACAATCAGCACCATGGGTCCTTCTAAGCAGTTGTCTAGAAAACTGAAACTGAAAATAGTTGACGCTCACAAAGCTGGAGAAGGCTATAAGAAGATAGCAAAGCGTTTTCAGATGTCAATATCCTCTGTGCGGAATGTAATTAAGAAATGGCAGTCATCAGGAACAGTGGAATTTAAAGCAAGATCTGGAAGACCAAGAAAAATATCAGACAGAACAGCTCGCAGGATTGTGAGAAAAACAATTCAAAACCCACGTTTGACTGCACGATCCCTCCAGAAAGATCTGGCAGACACTGGAGTTGTGGTACACTATTCCACTATAAAGAGATACTTGCACAAATATGGTCTTCATGGAAGAGTCATCAGAATAAAACCTCTTCTACGTTCTCACCTCAAAAATCATCGTTTGAACTTTGCAAATGAACATATAGACAAGCCTGATGCATTTTGGAAACAAGTTCTGTGGACCGATGAGGTTAAAATTGAACTTTTTGGCTGGAATGAGCAAAGGTACGTTTGGAGAAGAAGGGGCACAGAATTTAATGAAAAGAACCTCTGTCCAACTGTTAAGCATGGGGTTGGATCAATCATGCTTTGGGGTTGTGTTGCAGCCAGTGGCACAGGGAACATCTCACGAGTAGAAGGAAAAATGGATTCAATAAAATTTCAGCAAATTTTGGATGGTAACTTGATGCCATCTGTGAAAAAGCTGAAGTTAAAGAGAGGATGGCTTCTACAAATGGATAATGATCCTAAACACACCTCAAAATCCATGGGGGATTACATCAAGAGGCGAAAACTGAAGGTTTTGCCATGGCCTTCACAATCTCCTGACCTCAACATAATTGAAAATCTATGGATAGACCTTAAAAGAGCAGTGCGTGACAGACAGGCCAGAAATCTCAAAGAACTGGAAGATTTTTGTAAGGAAGAATGGGCAAAGGTACCTCAAACAAGAATTGAAAGACTCTTGGCTGGCTACAAAAAGCGTTTACAAGCTGTGATACTTGCCAAAGGGGGCAGTACAAGATATTAACTCTGCAGGGTGCCCAAACTTTTGCAGACGCCATTTTTTTGTTTTCTGTTATTTTGAAAGTGTAAATGATGGAAATAAAATCTAACTTTTGTTGACATATTATAAGAATGTCTAATCTGTAATTTGATGCCTTTTGGAGATTTTTCCATCTTTCCTTGGCTTCTTTATGCACATTAATACAAAGTTTTAGCTGGGGTGCCCAAACTTTCGATCCCCACTGTATATATATATATATATATATATATATATATATATATATATGCTTTGTTTCACTGTTTCACACAGATAATTCTCTCTATATTCCTTTTTAATTGCAATTACAAACTTTAACATATTTGTGCAAGAGTTGAATCTAGTTTTTATTTCTTCTATTGGCACATAAACATGTTACACCTTACGAATCAAAATAAGTTGCCCTCCTGTCATTCTTGTAACAATTTGGGTTTATTGTTAAATTGAAATAATAATAAAGCAAAGTGTTTACAAACTAAGTATATTGTGATTTAGAACAAGGACAGGATCAATAAGCACACCAACTGGTAAAGCTGCAGGTATAAAGCTCATCTAATTAAGAACATACAGAGAATGAACTGTCCAGGAAAACACAGAAGGGAGCATTATCTAAACCTTTTTTTTTGCATACAATATAGGCTCTATCAATTTAAAGAATCAGTTCTATTTTCAAATATATATACTTACTGTTTAAAATAATACAATTAGAGACAATAAAAATATTTGAAAAGAAAACTAACTTCCATTTATAATTTCTCATTGTAAAGTACCATTTATCAGAAAACTAAGTATATTTACCAGTTACATGTGATACTGTTTTTATACTGAATAATGATATACAATGGTGCAATGAGCATTTTAGCGAGCATTTTTTTTCCATAACAAAATATATGCAACTCTGCCTTCATGTACTACATAGCTAATGTTTCCAATTCACATAGTAGCTTTTTCAACATACTTTAGTGAAAATAAATGTGTAAACAGTAAAAAAAAAAAAAAACAAAAAAAAAACATATGATGTAATAAAATGAACATTTCAGCTACACAAAGCAATTTTATTAAAAATATAAAGCTACCTATGCTTGGACATGTGTATGCATATGTGTGATAGTTAGCTTTACTGTGGGTTATACCTATCAGTATTCAAAATGTGTACAGCCACTTTATTGGGACTGAGTATGTTATATATATGGCTATGTTATAGTATAACAAAACAATAATGTTCACCCTATCTTGCAGGGAATGGATGCTTGCTTACTATAGCAGCTATATGCATTATATGATTTCCCATGACCTTCTGTGGTAGTTGGAAGTCTGGGATAGTTTACTTTGGATGACTAGTTAACAAATAAAAAGGTTACGGCACGACACAGTTCCGTGTGCATGCAGTATAGAAAGTAAACCAGCCAAATAGAAAGGAATGGGATTTTTATTTGACATAACTTTTCATGCAACAAAATGCAAGGGTTTTGTAGCATCAAAATGGGCAAGTGATATTAGGCCCTATTTATATTTTATTCTTAATAATTTCCAGAAAAAAAGTTGTATATTTTACTTTATTCTAGTATCAAATAACTTTAAAACACAAAAATATCAGAACGGACATATTAAAATAAATTATTTTCATTTACAACACCTAAAATAAACATACTGGTTAAAATAAGCCTGACACAAACTTGGGAAATAAAAAATTGGTGAATAAAATGCGTAAGAAAAAGCTATCTTTAGGAAAAACTGCATTTCAAAATGACCAGCAGAGCCAGAGATATGGGTAAATAAATTTATAAGCAAATATCAATTTTTCCTATATAAAAATGAATCTGACCCTGTCCCCTCAAGGCTGCCTATTGATACTTTAGTGTTACAAATGGTCTCACTGACAAGTAAGGAGGCCTGAGAACAGCAAAGACTAGAAATGCCCTTTTTCTTGAGAAATCAAGAATTTTAGCTGCAAATATCTCTGGCTCTACTGAACGTTTGTTGATAACACTGTTCAACAGGTAAAAAGTTTTGGGCATAAAATTAGCTAATCTTACATAATTTTGGGGTGCTGAAAACGAAAATGACCCTAAAAAATGTTGATTGGCTCTAGTTTCCATGATATATTCACCCATCTAATGACGTAAGCCATTCAAAATTATGATGCAACTTCAGCTGCATATTGCGCAATTGATACTGGTGACCAATAGAAAATTGCATGTATACTGAGATGATGCAATATTAGCCTTTAATTGCATCACTTCACTGCATAAAAGCTGCAGTATCTGTAGCTGATTGTAGTTCGACAGCGTCTTTACATTTTGTTTTATGCTTATATAGGCTACTCAGTAATGCCTCGAACTTGTGTGAATAAAGCAGATAATTTCTGCTATATCTGCGGTGAAATAACTTTTATCTCACAAAAAAGGAGGATAACAGGAATGATTAAGAAAGCCTACAACTTGTATTTTG